CCTAGGTAATCCTGCAAAATCTCATGCGACGCACCTTGGCGACGGTAAAGATGGGGAGAAGACAGGGCCGTGGCTAGGGTTTTTTGGCTCTTGATAGTTGATGCTACAAAAATCCATTCGAATTTGAGATATCGGTATGCCTTGTCATCTATTAGCTCGTTCGAATCATGCCACGCCATGGCGTGTCGAACACGCTCAACGTCCAGTTTGGAATATCAGACGAGGTCATGGGCTCATGGCGTGCTGAAACCCCACAGCGAACAATGACAAAATGAGATTAGGGAGAAAAAGGAAGCCGGTCAAGCGGCACCAGTAGATACGGCTGGCGCACAGATCGATCGGGTGAGGAGAACCTGGACATCCATCCCATCCTCCCCGGATCCTCTGTGACGGCAACCTACTAGCCACCTGTGTGACCTCTCTCTCTCTTTCTCTCTCTCTTCCCCTGCCCGTAGAAGTATCGCCGGTTTTTCCAAAAACGGTTGCGCTCCTATCTGAAATGGCTGCCTGCCTGCATGATACTACTATGATTGAAATGAATTAATTTGGTGTGAGTTCAGTTGTACTCCTAGGTGGAGTACTGTACTCGTCGTGCTAGACATGGCACCGCTAGGGATGCTACGCAGGGTGGCTCGGCCTCGGCTAGATCGGGCCAAGAGGCAGCAGAGTGGTCACTCACTCACTAATATTTTCTCTTGCTACCTAATATTTTCTCTCCACGAAACTGTTTTCAGGTATTTTTCAGATTTCAGGCTAGCTGTCAAAGATGCTCTTAAGCTAAATTCATTTTCAGATTTCAGGCTAGCTGTCAAAGATGCTCTTAGGCTAAATTCATATTGTACTACTCCCTCCTTCCCATAATATAAAAACGTTTTTGACACTACGCTCTAGTGTTAGAAACGTTCGTATATTATGGGACGGAGGGGTAGATGCGTGTCGGTGGCAACCGTGTGAATGGATGGTCGAAGGCAATGTCGCCATCCACGCGATCCGTATCTCATCTTTCCCGTTAGCTCACTGCTAGCTAGCTGACGGAGTAGGAGATACTGCTTCTCTAATTCTGCTTCACTTTGCAGACACTTCAGCCGTCCTGTCAATTAGGGTACGGTCGATCGCCGGCTAATACAAGAAAGCGACACGGTCGACGTATACTGCTGTGAGTATAATTGATTGATGATTAGAGCATAATCTCACCGTTACGCAGTAGGATGGTTAGATACTCTGTTTCTTCGTTCGACCACGCCAAATAAATGGTGCATCTCTCATGCCATGTTTCCCACCGCCTCACCCCCGCCCTTTCGGTGGTGAATTGAGATCCTCTTTTGTGCACGTCGTTGAACCAGAGTTTTTTTTTCCTTTGTCATCCTCGCCTCGTTACAGCATCATAATGTTGGGTGTTGGATGGCTTGGGGGCGGGGCTGACATTGGTGGAACCCTGCGTTGGTGTATTTTGATGTTGGTGTGCTCTTTTGGCGACCTCTGAGTTTGCCCTTGTGTTCAGCTGCGGAGCGTCGGTGGCACAATTCCGGGCCATATATTCGCTTCTAATTCTCCAGAGTCTTTGATCACTCTAACCTTTTCTATGAATGCACTCATCTGGCCCTGATGATGCCAAGTTTGGCGGGCTCATGGTCGTCGGCCAATTAGCCGCTTGCAAAATGCGGAGACGAAGCTTGATTTTTCGGAGCTAATGACTGGCCGGACATGGGGAACGGGGGCCAACGGTCATTTGGATATCAAAAAGCATATGGTTTTTTTAAAAATATATCAAATATTGTCCGGTTTGTTATAATATCTATAAAAAATGCAACCACGCATATGGAGATAG